AATGTATGTATTAAACCCTTTCTGTGTACCATGAAAGCAAGTAAATAAGCAAATATATAAGATTTTAGCCAAGAGGAATATGCACCGTGAAGAAAACATAGAAAAGGTAAAGTATGATGTCACTCATATGTGGAAGCTAAAGAAAACAAACAAACAAACAAAATTGAAATAGACCCATAGACACAGAGAGCAAACTGGTGGTTGCCAGAAGGGAGGGGCTTGTGGGACAGGGGGACAGGGGTGAAGGGATTAAAAGGCTCAATTTGATAATTACAAAATAGTCATGGTGACTAAGTAAAGCGTAGGGAATATAGGCAATAATATTGCGGTAACTGTGTATGGTACCAGTTGGGCCACTGGAAATATCGAGGGGAACACTTTATAAAGTCTATAATTGTCTAACCCCTATGCTGTATGCCTGATGCCAACACAAAATTCAGCTTAAAGAAAATAAAAGTATGGAGAGAGCACTGCAGGCGGGCAGTCAGGGAGGGTCTCTGTAAGGAGGTGATAATTAAGCTGAGATTTGAAGGCCAAGCGGGAGCAACAAGGTGGGGGGAGAGCCAGAGACACAGCGTTCCTGGCCCAGACAAGGGCTCATTCAAAAGTCTGGGGGCTGGGCTGAACACAGTGCCATCAAGGACCAGGATGTGCATGTGGCCCATTTGGAGCGAGTGACAGGCGGGTGACACATGAGGTTGGAGAGGCAAAAACCCAAACCCAGGGCCACAGCCCAAGGTTTTCGTCACGCAGCTGAAACCCTGTTTACCCCTCCTCGGCATTCCTCTTGGTGTTAGACTTTCATTTCGGCCACAGTCACTAGTTTCATTAGGCCCACGTCTGCAGTGTGCCCTGTATGCACATCATCTCATTTAAGGCTCACAACAGGCCAGGACAGCTCCGTCTGAAAGGAGCGTTTCTTGTTTAATTCAGTGGATGACCAGATCAGCTTTCCTAGAGAAACAGCCAGAGCTAATGGGCTGCCCGCAGGTCTCAAATGACACTGCCTCAGTGAGTGGGATAAAGCCCCAGGAGTTTCCTCCCCCTAGCATCCCACATTGTAAGAGATCAGAGTCCAGGATGAAAGCTGGGCTAATGGGTTAGAGTTTCCATTGAGGGCCGACCAGGCCGACCAGCTTTGATTAACAAATCACTCAGTAAGACACAAGAAAAAGCTCAAATCCAATTTTACACAGAATCCTCTGGGGAGCTGGAAGAAAGGATGGAGAGGAGAGAGACATGGAAGGTTTTCCTGTACATAATCTCTCTTCACTCAGCTACACTTCACTCAGCCATTAATTACTGAGCATCTATTTTGTTCCAGGCTTGGGTGGGGGCGGGGCGACTTACCTTCTGGCAGTTGAGCTGGAGTCTGAGCTGAAATCCATGTGCCCTGGCTTAGCTCCTGCTGCTCTGGCCCAGGAAGAGGGGTCACCCTTTTGGCAATTTCCTCTGCCTGGAAGGAGCATGGGTTTTCTAATTTGAAGAAGAAAAGGAAGTCTGTGCTAGCAGAGGCAGGACAATACTCTACAGGACAAAAAAAAAAAATTTTTTTTTTACAAAGTTCCCCCTTGCTTGGAGCTCACAGTCTAAAGGAGGAAACCCAAAATGATACCTGTTCTGAAGAAAAATCAAGCAGATGGTAGCGATGGGGACACTCTTTAATATATTAGATGATATTTTAGATATATTGGTCAGGGAAGCACTCTCTGAGGCTAGACATTTGATTTGGTTGGTACCTGAAAGATGGGAGGGAGAGAACCAGGCAAAGGTTTAGAGCAGTGGTTCTCAACCTTTCTAATGTTGTGTCGCTTTAATACAGTCCCTCATGTTGTAGTGACCCCCAGCTGCTGCTGCTCTACAGCAGCGGTTCTCAACCTGTGGGTCACGCTAGCAGGGTTGCCTAAGATCATCGGAAAACACAGATATTTACATTACGATTCATAACAGTAGCAAAATTACAGTTATGAAGTAGCAACAAAAATAATTTGATGGTTGTGGGTCACCACAACATGAGGAACTGTAGTAAAGGGTCGCGGCATTAGAAAGGTTGAGAACCACTGGTTTAGAGGAAGAGATTTCTTGATAATGGCACAGCAAATCTGCAAAGGCTCTGAGGCCATCTTCAGTTGGTTCATTTGAGGAATACAGCAAGAAGACCAGGGTAAGTAGAAGAGTTGGGAAGAAAGCAAAGTCTACAAATCAAGCTGATCATATAGACTCTACACTGTAGAGCCTCGTGGCCTGTGGCAAGGATGCTCATAGATTAATGTAACATAACGGGAAGTCACAGGTGAGGTCCCAGGACCAGAGCAGCTTCATGTTTGTAAAAGGATCATCCTAGCTACTCTGTTTCTAGCATTGTGCTCCTGATGTGGCGGCACATGAAAGAATTCTGCAACATTATCTTTTCCTCCATGTTTGTCAGAGACAGGAAGGAAATTCAATTACATAAACATTATGTATCAACTGAAGTGTTTAAAAGGGGTTTGAGGGTTATAGTTATAGCAGCATTCTTCACAATAGTCAAAAGATGGTAAATAGTTCAAATATCCATGAATGGATGCCTGGATAAACAAACTGTGGTATATTCTTACACTGGAATATTATTCAGTCTTAATAGGGGTAGAGTTCTGACACATGCTATAACATGGATGATCCTTGAAAACATTATGCTAAGTCAAATAAACCGAATAGAAACGGACAAATATTGTATGATTCCACTTACATGAAGTACCTAGAATGGACAAAGTCATAGAAACAGAAAGTAGAATGATGGTTAGCAGCGTTTGAGAGGAGGGAATGGGGAGTTAGTATTTAATGGATACAGAATTTCTCTTTAGGAAGATTACAAAGTTCTGCAGATGGACAGTGGTGATGGCTACACAGTAACGTGAATGTGCTTAGTGCCACAGAATGGTTCAAATGGTAAATTTTATATTATGCATGTTATTACAATAAAACAAATATTTTTAAAGGGCATTAGATAAGAATCTAGGGATAGAAGAGTGAGCAGGCTAGGCAAAGGTAACAGCCAGTGCAAAGGTCCAAAGGTGGGAATGCGCCTGATGTTCTCTGATGAATAGCAAGAGGGCCAATGGGTTGGGGCATAATGCAGAGAGTAAAGGGTGAGGCTATTCACATATAGCCTTGTAGGATCTTGTCATTCTTTCTAGAAATCCAGGGGGAGGCCGGGAGCCACTGAAGCAATTTGAGCAGAGGGGTGATGCTATCTGAACTTTATTAATTCAGGATCACTCTGACTTTTACTTTTTGTCATTCCAAGTCTCATTTGCAAATGATGATAAGAAAAGCATTTATTTCACAGGGAAGCTGTGAACATTAAAAGAGGTGATGCATGCCAAGGGTTTAACATGGTGCCTGACATAGCATTCAGTAAAAGGTAAGCGTTACTGTGACAGAAATCCAAGGAAAGACAGCAGCCCCGTGAGGACTTTCGGAGGACTTCATGGAGGAGATGGCAGTTCAACCAGACATGGAAAATTGCATAAGACATAGATGGGGAAGAGGAGGGCTTTCTGGGTAGAAGGAACTAAGTGGTCAAGGAGAACAGCCAGCAATTGGTCAGGGCAGAGAGGAGGAAAGGATGTTTGATCTGCCCTAGCAGGCCACAGTGTGGACTCTCTAGACTGAGCCTACATAATGAGAGCTTTGAAGGTTTTGTAGCAGCTGTTAAAATCTGTAAGCTTTGATTTCAGAAACCAGAATCGCCTCCCCTCTGCCTGGAGCTGGAAGAACTGCGAAGGAGTCTTCAGGACACTGGTCCGAGGCTGGGCTGGATGGAGGTGGAGAGAATCAAGAAAACGCTTTTGGGGTGAAAAAGAGGAAGGCAACTAAGAGGGCATGTGGTCCCTTGGCATCAGAGGAAGCAATTCTGTGAAGAGCACTGAGGAGCCACAGGCATCACTGCCCAGCTCCGTGGCCCTCCACAGTGCCCAAAGGGCCACACTCCCTCAGAGCCCTCCCTACCAGACACATGTCACCGTCTAATGTGATTGTGCATTTGATGTTTTAGTTCCCAAATGTGGGGGCTAGAGTCTTTTCATTTCGTCCCTGTGCCTGGCACAGTGTCTGGTACACGGTAGGCGTTCGCTAAGGGTTTGCTGAAGAGCTAAACTGAGACAGTGACCGACAGGAGGTTTCAAATAAAGGGCTTCCTGAGCTGATTGCCTAGAAATACACGTGGGACTGGAGGGTATCCCAACCCCAAGGAGGCTGGGCTTTCGTGAGAAAAGGTCCTGCAGAGAGACGCCGCGGTCACCTCCCCGCCGTTTTGCAGGGTCAACAGACAGGTGGCAGGCGGGCACAGCTTTCCACAGTTGACACAAGGCGTTCACACCTAAAGTCGGGAGCCCCGAAAGGAGGAAAAACGAGGGTCCCATTTCACAGGTGTGGCCTGAGTACACAGGGTCCCCGGAGTCACAGTAAGCCCGCAGGTTCTCTCTCGGAGCCGAGCCGAGGTGGGCGGGGAGCCCCAGCTGCCGGGGCTGCGGGAGTGCAGCGTCCCGCCCGGCTCCAACACACCCGCACCCCCCGGCGGAGCGCGCAGCGTGCCCACCGGAACGCGGTGCAGAGGCTACCAGGCAGGGAAGTGGATCCCCGGGCGCGCCCCAGCGCGCGGAGACGCCCCGAAGCCTCCCCGCACCAGTTAGCGCCCAACTCCCCAACTCCGGGACTTTAGCAAAGCTCCTACGGGCGGGGGGGCCTCCGCGGAGCGGACCGCGCCATCGCGGCCCAGAGGGGGGAGCGGTGTGCGCTCGGACCCCGCGGCGCCCGGGCGGGCCAGGAAGAGCCACAAGAAGGTTTTGTGCTCCGAGACAAGACGCTCGGCAGCCGATCTATCGGAGGGCGGCGCGGGGCGAGCGGGTGGCCGGGGCTCGGGGCCGGCGGGGCCGGCAGCGGACATCCCCCCTCGGCGGTGGCGCGGTGGCCGCGCCCGGCTCCCCGGCTGGCGAGCAGCGGAAGTGCCGCGGAGTTGGAGCGGGGCCGGCGCCGCGGCCGGTTGTGCTCGCCGAGCTGCTGCCGCCGGGCGGGCGGGCGGGCTGACGCTCGGAGCGGGGGGGGCCGCGCGGCGGGGCCGGCGGGACGCGGCGGGGCTGACCGGCCCCGATGAGGCGGAAGGAGAAGCGGCTTCTGCAGGCGGTGGCGCTGGTGCTGGCGGCCCTGGTCCTTCTGCCCAACGTGGGGCTCTGGGCGCTGTACCGCGAACGGCAGCCCGACAGCACCCCCGGGGGATCTGGGGCTGCGGTGGCCCCAGCGGCCGGACAGGTGAGTCCTCCAGATGTTTGGGGGTTGGGGACACTTGCTCCCCTAATTTGCTTCTAGCTTTCGGTTCCTTCCCCCTGCCTTCTCAGAGTCAGCGCCGGAGACACTTCTGTTCTTTCCTTTTTTTTTTTTTTTTTTTTTTGGATGGGAAATTGAGGTTCGGAGAAAAGACAGGGACTGGTCCAGGACCCCACGCCCGCCAGAGGCAGAACCAGAACTGGAAACCAAGAATCCCGAAGCCCTGTCTGGTCGTCTGTTTCTTACCATAGGTTCCCGTCCTTCTTTCTGCCCATGTGTGGGTACCTCTCACCCCTTCCAGCATCTCTTCTTTTGGAGGATCCTGTCAGCATGCCGCATCCCAGGGTAACTCCTGGAGATCCCGGTGCTTCTAAATGGTGTCCAGGTCTTTTCTAATTTTCCCCCACCTGCTGATCCCTGCGTTCCCTACTCGGGTCAGCCCCTTTCCTGTGTTGCCATCTGTTAAAAGATGGGCCTCCCCGCTCTCCCTATTTGCTCATCCTCCCAGATCCTGTGGGCTCCTTGGAGTATGCAAAGATCATGCTCCCCTGGGAGCTGCAGGCCCTCGGGATGGGGAAGGGGACTGAGCTCCTGGTTCTTGAGGAGCCTGCTTTTTATTTTTTTTATTTTTATTTATTTATTTTTTTTTCCTTCTGAGGGTCTAGAAGTGGGGGCTCTGATAGAAAGATCCCCCAAATTTCCCTGAGTCTATTTGTGCCCAGTGCCCAGAAGATGGAATATTACATGCTTTCCTTGTCCCTTCTCAGAATACTATGACCCCTCTGAACTTGTTCAGGCTAATTAGGTGTGCTGTTTCTTGCAGCATAGACTAGAATTTTAATTTGTTTCTGCCTCCTCTGAATTCACCCATGGATGCAAGGGTGTGTATGTGTCACACATACTTCTAGACTGAGAGCAGATGCTCTGTCAGTTGGCTCCTAGCCTTCCAGCCCCTGACCCAGTAGCTGACAGTGAGCGAATGCACGCTTGACAAATGTTTCACCCAGTGGGATGTTTCAGGTTTGTGAAGGGATTTCCTTGTTCCGTGGGAGGCGGATAATTTGTGCAGCAGGGTCAAGTTTGACTGATTGTTGGCAGGGCGAGTGAAGAAGCTGACTTTTGAAGCTGATGGTTTCCCTTTCCCTTCCCGCTATCAAGCTGCTGTGTGGGGAGTGAGTGTGGCATCTTGAGCAGGGCTCCTTGTGACAGAACTGGCCAATTGTGAGTGTAGCCTGTCGCTCTGTAATTGTTGTAAACCATCCTATAGGCCTGGCTGATCTTTCTGGTAGAGCTTACTGTTTGGACACTCAGGGCCCTAACTCCTTTCCTAAATCCCTGGCAGAAACCCTGGCCGCCAGCTTAGACATCCATCCTTTAAATTCTGTGTTCCTGCGGGTGTTTGCGCCATGAATTCTTTCTTCTGTTCCCATCCTGGGTCGGGGTTAGGAGGTCAGGGTTCTGTCCTCTGCCCTGCCATGAACTTGCTGTGTATGTCCTTGATCACCTCTCAGGTCCTTCTCCGAGCCTCCCTTTCTCCTTACGTAAAATGTGGTTATTGGTCTAGCTCCACCATTCTGTAATATCATCCATAAATCAATGAGGAGTACATTGACCACCCTTTTTTTTTTTTTTCTTGTGGCAGGAGCCCCCTGTAGCATCCCTAGCTGTGGGGGCACCATCCTGGACTTACCCCAGGTCATAGGAGGGGAGAGTGCCCTGCTCAAGTGCAAACTCCTTTGGAATAGCTCTGGCCGTTTCTATAATAGCTCATAAGATTCTGCCTCTGCCTGGAGAAAGCCCTCGTATTTCATTTGCTGTGGATGCCAGACATCCCGATTCTCATTTTCTATAGACCCAGATGTGTAGAGAGAAGGTTAAGGTTAACTGCCAGTTTGGCCTGAACTTTCAAAGTAAATTACTCACTTGTGCAACGGGGAATTGATGGAATAAGGCAGCGAGAGAGAGGGAAGCAACAGCTGGGCGCTGCTCAGAGCCCTTAACGGAAATGGTCAGACAAGCACATCTGGGAAGGTCTCGTTCTTGCTCATTTCTTTTGCTCTGCAGTATCATGAAGAGCAGGAGGAGGAGGAGGAAGTGGTGAATGGGGTGTGGTGGTGGTGGTAGGGGGTACCAACTGATTATCCTTGCTTTAAAGGAAATGCCTAGGCTCCCTGGGAGCAGCCGAATGGAGCTGTTTCCCCAATGACAAGCTCTTGTATGTGCTATAGGATTCTGCACTCATCCTCTGCCTGTCAGGAGCACGCTGCCAAATTCCCACACAGTCCCCTGTTTGTTCCACTCTCCTGCAGATGCACAGCGCCGGGCTTGGCCCCTGGTCCTGCGTCTGAATGTCAGCTGGCCTTGAGGGAAGAGGCTGACTCCTCACAGTGACGGCGCTCTGCCTCTCATCCCGGAGAACCGGGATGTGTGCGGAGCATGCCAGGCTGCTGTCTGGGAGATCTGGCATTTTGAGCACACAGAGCTGCTTTTCCTTCTTCTCGATAGGGTTGACCAGTTCTGAGCTCAGCCTGTCACTCCTGTAATTGTTGAGCCTGATCCCAGAGCACCTCGTTGATCTTTCTGGTAGAAGTAACTGCAGAGGCTCTGGAGGGGAAGTCTGACAGGACTTTATCCAAATGAAAAATATATTCCTTGTGGGTTTGAGAGAAGTTTCTGTGAGAGTAACAAATGCACTGTTGGAATGGTCCTTTCACTCCTTGATTTCTCCATTGGATTGAAGGATACAGAGTTTTAAATTAAGAGCATTTATCATCTGCTGGAGCTTAAGTCTATACAACTGTCACACTGGCTCCAGAGGTGCTGGGTAGGGCAGCTGATTTATAAAGGACACAGGATGCTCTTAGGATTTCCAAATCCATCTGGTCAGACAGCTCAGCTGGCTGCTTTGAAAGCTGCAAAACCAAGCAAGAAAAGCCAGTCTTGAAGCCATCTCCATTTTAATTTGGGGGTTCCCTCTCATTCCTAGCCTCCATCTGCTTCACATCTTGGTTTGATTCTCCAGTCTGTTACGTATTCCAGATTTGGGAACTGGCCATGAAAAACCCATACTGGGAAATGCGATGCAGTTCCTCCCCATTTCTGAGCCGTAATCTCTTGCGAGAAATGACTTCCTTGGATAAAGAGCGACCATGGAATAGAAATTGGTGGGTTAATGGAATACCAGTGACTTAAAATTTCAAGAGTCAGGAGTTTTTACTCATTGTATCTTTATTTTTCATTGTGAACTTTATTCCTAGAACATCCAGAAATCAATACCTTTCCCCCCTCTGTTAGTCTTCCTGGTGGCAGAGCCTTAGCAATCGGAAAGTTAAGTGCCATAGAAAGGTAGCCATGGAATGATTTCCTTAATTTTCCACAGAGGGGCTGGGATCCTGTAGATGGCTGATCCCTTCCCTGCCTGTGTGCCCAGCTGAAGCCTGATGCTACGGGGGAAGGCTTGTTGATTTACCTGAGCAAATCTTGCTCGCCACCTGCTTTCTCTTATCCTGGGCTTGCAATCTCCCTAGGAGCCCAGCTGAGGAAGGCCTTGGAACAGAAGCCTGGGCTCTAGTTCTCTCTCCTTCCTTAAACTTACTGTGTGACCTTAGAAAAGTGGTTTAACCTCTCTGGGCCTTGGATTCCTCATCTGTGAGGTAAGAGCTTAGATTCAGAAGGGAAGAGGTAATTGTGTGTATAATGGAGCTTCCCCTCCCCTGGCCAGGGCAGACATTGCTAAGCAATCTCTTTCCCATTAAACCCAGACTTGGCCTCAGACTGTTTGTCAACACTGCTACTCAAACGGCGTCAACGGCATGTTGAAACTCAAATGTGATGTAGGGGTTAGATACTGTGAGGACTTTTCCAACTCTAGCATCCTGGAGTTCTGTGGGCTTGTTTGGAAGCATGTACTGGAAAGGCCTGGATAGTAGCCGTGTGTTTAAACAAGCTTTCGAATCTAACTGGCGAGGAGGCCACCGCTCAGAGATATGTTCAAACCCCAATGCCTTCTCTCAGGCCGTAGTCTCAAGATGTTCAGCTTTTAATCTGTTGGCTCCAATGACAGGATAAAAACTAATGGGGCAGGAATGAATGAAAGCACAAAGGCCTGTTTGAAAGATAACCATCTAGCTGGCTAATTGCACCTTGTGCACAGCCAGCTCTTCCACAGAGGTGGCATCAGGATCTCATCACTGAAAAACTCCTGGAGGCAAACTGGCAGCCAGACATATGTCCCGTGACAGCTAAATGCTCATGGGTGTTAGCAGTGGGTTGTTTCATTCTGAATGTATCTGACCCTCTGCATTCCATCTTGGTGTCAGAGCCAGGAAAAGAAGAGCTGATGGATAAGGCTCTGCTCCCAGGAAGATGGAAATAAGAGTCCTGCTTCTCTGAAAACCACTGTCCTCACGCCCAGTGAAGTGGGGTGAGGAGGTAGCTTATATGTGCCTTAGTTCCAGTGGCCTCCTGCCCCCCCCTCCCCCATCCCCCAGAGATGTCTTAAAGTAGAAACCACATCTTCTTCTAGCACATAGCAAAAGGCTTGCCACTTGTAAGATAGAATGTGTTTGCTCAGTTACGTGTATCAGCAGGAAGGGGGCTCATTTTGTAGATTCAGAAACTGAGGGGAAATCAATTCACAGAGAGGCATGCAGATCAGAACCGAGTTCTTCTCTCCAAGTTCTCACTCTGTTTGACCATGAATGCTCCCCCTCCACATGCTAATATTTGATCCTTCTCCGCCGTTATTTTCTTCATGAGCCGAGAGTATCACTCCCAGTTTGGGAGGCCAGCACTTACTGAGACCAGCTCTCTGCTGGAACTTACCTAGCTTTTACATTTTCTCTTCACAGATGTTTAGAGTTTCAAAGCAAGTAAAACGGATTAAATTTTAAGGTGGCAAAGGGATCCAGCAGGGGAACTAGAGGAGTGAAAGGGACGCATTGCATGTAGCATCCCAGGTGACACCATCACTGCTGTCCGTGGTA